AGAGTCTTGCTTTGCCTTTAATCTGTCTATATATGGGTATTCTGTTGCCATCTCTAAATTGGAAGAGGTCAAGGTTAGAACATGGTTTCAAAGGAAGCTGTGGTCTGAATGAAAACCTTACTGAAAACTGCTGAAACTGAGGTCTCCTCCCACTGTCCAAAATTCCCTCTCCCTGTAGTTTTTGTGTGTGCTTCTTTTTCCTTTGTTTTGTGCTTATATCCTTTTCAGGTTCATGTTTGGTTTGTTAGACAGAAAGAGCAGTCAACTAAATGGTGTTATTTTCATACATTTTAGTAAACTAACTCCACTCACAAAAGAACATGATGAAGATTTGTGTTGGCACAAGGGCAGAAGTTTGGGACAGTGGCTTGGAGCAATGATGCAGTGGAATTGAAAGGAAGGGTAAGCTGAGAAGAGCCATAAATAAGAGTGGAAGGAGAAACAACAAACCCCTTGGGCCAGTTTAAAGAAAGCAGCCCTGTCTCATTCAGATGTTAACTTGTAATAACACGTGGAGCTGAACCCAGGGTGCCCAGTGCCAGCCTTCTGCCTTCTGCTGGACATCACCTGCATGCCAATAGCCACTGGTATATTAAACAGGCAGTATGTGCAGAAATAGAAATGAAGATGATGTAGGAAAAGAAACAATTTTATTTCTTCATGTTATGTCACTCAACTATATTTATATTTTTCCTAGAGTACATATATTTTATGTCTGCTACAAAGAGTATATATTGATGAACAGCTTGACATAGAGTATCCTCTTAGCAGTCTTGCAAGCCAAGCTTTTAGGGCTTTTTTTTTAATTAGTGTAATTAAGTGTGCTAGCTGTTTCATCTTTGCATTAAATTTGTATTTTTTTTCTGTATGCCAACTGAGCAAATATTAATTTAAATCTTCAATGTATAAAACCCTGGGGGTTTTATTGTTTTGTTTTGTTTTTTGGGTTTTTTTTAATACAGGCTCAGCCCCTCTTCAGATATCTCTACTGGATAGATTTGTCATTTACTGAGTCTCCCCATCAGTGAATAACTGCCAGGGAACCTTTCAGGAAAGTCATCATCTTTCCAGGAAAAGCCTTCAGGAGACTTCTTTTCTTTCCTCCCCTTTTCTAATGACAATGCTTGAAAGTTGTAGGACTCTGACTGTGCTCCTTAGCACAGTTTCTAGATGCATTTTTCTGCTGATCTCAGTAGCCACAGGGAGTATGGTTACACAGTTACGAGGGCTGCTGGGTGGTAAGAGTTACTTTTGTACTTCCTCTGCATCCTTTGTTCACAAGGGTGATGCTTGATAATTATCTCTTCTGTGCCAGGGTGTTTTTATTTTTATCGAGCTGTGACAGACTAGTCTTCCACCAGATTTTTTTTCCCTCCTACACTCATGCAGACTTTCACATGATGCTTCAAAAAAGCAGCTGAGAAGCCAAGCAAAAAGCAGGACTAAAAGTATCAAAGTTCTCAATTAATTCAAAACTTCAAGTTATGTTACAGTTTGCTGTATACGGATCCAAACATTCTTGTTTGAAAAAGCAATTTTCACAGTAACAATTTCTAAGGGTCTGTGGTCTAGAAATATTTTCTAAAAATATGTTTTCTGGGATAGACCTAGTCGATGCTTGTTGTTCTTACAGATGCTGATTTAAAGCAGCTGTTTTACCCTGTCTAAGATGTAAACTGAGGATGTCAGTTCACATCTAATCGTCACCAAGTGCCACTTGGAAAAGGTTTGTCACTGCTTGCTCTGCAGTAAGACAGACATCTGTCCTGGAGCTCTCTGCTGTTTATCAAAGTGTTACTGGCAGTGGACAGGTCTCTGCACAGGGTTTCCCTTTACAGGGAGAATTCTCAAATTTGCTGTCAGGAAATACCCACTAGTGTTTGCTTTAAAAAAAAAATCACTGAAAATACCCTTCAAAAAAGATAATTCTTGTAATACCTGAGGGAAGCTGCTGCCTAAAGGGATACATCCTCAATTAAATTAAGTAAGGAATCTGGGCAAACATGAGGGATAATCTGTTTCTCTGTTCAGTATTTGACAATTTTAAAAGTAGTAACACTAGAAGTGTTTGAAATAATATTGACTTAATGTAGCAGTACAAATATATTTGTTACATAAGCATGCAAATATAAAATATATAAATATGCAAGTGTATTCCTACAGATTTTTTTCACAATTTTCAGCTAAGATCCATGTTTTTAATTTGAAGGCACATTTAATAGATTTTTTGATAACTCAGGAGAAGTAAGATTATTTTCCCCTTTTTTTAAACAAATGTGAAGAAAAAAGGTGTAATGGTATCTGCTGGTTTTTGTTTGGTTTAGTTTTTTTAGATTTATTTCACAAGTATTTAAAAAATGAATTGGATGTTTTTAAAGGAGAGATGTTGTCGAGCTCTCTGTGAGCCCATGTAATATTATATGGTCTGTACATAAATCAGATTGTATTAAATGGTCTTGCCCAGACTTACTGTCTGAATCTCTGTAAGGAGCTGCTGTAAGAAACTGGTTTCTCAGCTTGAAATAATTTTTTAATTGGTGGAATATTACTTGGTTATTATTCCCAAAGATGCCATCTTCAGTCTTTTCTGCATTATTGCTGAATTAATTTCAAATCAAAGGTGGTAAAATACATGTTGTTAAACCTTGAAAGCGACTTTAGGCGAAGCAGATTACCTCACACTTGCTTGTTGTGAAGATTATACAGGGCTTTGAGGGTGGGGATTTTTTCACTGCAGGTGGACTTGGTTCAGCAAGACAGAGAGAGATTTTTCCATGCTTTTTTACTATACTGAAAACATCACTTTTCAGCAATGTTGGGCTTTGTTAGTATTTCAGTACATCAATTTTTTCTTTCTACCAATTTAATTTGAAATTACTGTTAAAAGGAAACATGTTAGACTCATGATGGCCCTTAGTTTCCATCCTGTGAGTATCCGTGAGAATTTGTGTATGTAATGCCATTGCTGGTTTGTGTTGGCAAGTGTTGAAATTGTACTGTGCCTACTGTGCTACCCTGAGATTATCTCACGCTACCTTTCACACACATACAGCTCTTGTTTGGTCAACAGACTTCAGCACAATTGCAATTTCTTGGGTACATGTAATGAATAATGCAATAGAAGAGTGAGAGAACTGTGCTATATTTAGCGTTCATTAATGTACACGTTCCCTCTAATCCTTTTAAAAATATGTTCTTGCAGCCTATTTGTACTCTTCTCTGAGCACATTACAGTGGTTTTGATTTCAGTAGTCCTTTGTGTCGAGAAATAAATTGAGCAGTAGGACATTCATGCAGTGTGAAAGGTTCTCTTTGGCTGTTCATTCTGACTGGCTTCTCCTGACATGAGAGGAGCAAGGCTTATAGCTACCAAGGCTTACATCTTGCTGCTGCTTCCTTTAGCTAGCACTGATATCATAAATCTGGGTCTTTGAAGATTTTCCTAAAAGCATACATTTGAAGGATGTTTCCTAGCATTTCAGCAGTCTATTTGTTGTGTGAAACCCCAGTGTCTCTTGGGCCTCACCTTTTTTAATACCCAGATATCTTTTTAATCGTTTGTAACTTGTGGCGCCTCTAGTATTGCATTAATGTAGGGAGATATGATTTCCACTTGTTATGGTGTACACCGTGTAATGCATATGGACTCACTGCATCCATTAAATCCTCTAGGTTTGGTGAAGCAGCCACGTATTTTTAATAGGGTTATGCAGGGCGATAAATGCTTTCTACATGGCAGCTGGTATGAAAAGTGTTTCCATTCTCTCCCCATCCTGTTGCAGAAGAGACGGACAGTGGAGCTGACATTGTCATCACTTGCTTAGAGTTAACATTCCACTGAGGTTAACTGACTTGTAGTGCAAAAGCTTGCACGTCTGAATGATCATTTAAGTCAGTCAGCAGAAATAGAGAAGATAATGTTAATTAAATTTGATCGATACCTAGAAACTTTAGATGAAGCCCTAAGGCCTAGAACTTGTTGATTTTTGACTTGTGTTTTTAGGCTTATTTTATGACTTCTTACACAGGCAACAGGAGTACATGAAGCCATCCTGGTATTCTACCCACACCTACTTAACATAAGGGCTATGAAGACAGTCTTCAGCCTGTGTGTTTTCTAAGATGGTGCTGCAGTGCTTCTGTAATATCCAAGTGTTCATATCCCTTCTTTTTGCAGAGCTGTAGAGATACTTATATTTGTGTATTGGTTGGATTCCAGTGTTTCTGTCCATTTTGATTTAGTCATATGTGAAGCATGGGGGAAAATTTGCTTAAACTTAAATTTGCTTAAATTTGCTTAATCCAGCCTTAAACTCTGCTTGTATATTGTAAATCTGGTAAACATGCCCTGGTCATGGGCTGTTGATGTTGCTATAGGCATGCCCCTGGATTGTTTGCTCCCAGGTTTGTTGAACTGTTATTCGTATTCTTCTTATTTTGTAAATGAATAAACAAATTTACTAAGTTACAAGAAATAGGTTAAGAAGGAAAATCAGTAGAGATGTTAAAATATTGATATACACCAAGACTGTTAAAGGAATGCATTGCATGTTCTTGAGCACCATCTTTCTGGTGGATGATAAATCCATTTTATAGACTTAATTATGTATTTCAGTGTGGCTTATTGCTTCATGTTATGGGCTTCTTAATGTTATTTCCCCTTTCCTCTCTCAGCCCAATTTACTTTTATGTAATTGGGCAGCAGGTGAAGAAATATATAAGCTCATTATGCTGCGATAAAAATATTTTATCTTCTTATGTAAATGAGTATTGCATATAGTGAGGTCATTATTATGCTACTTGTGCCTTTATTATATTGAACATGTTATGAAAAATTGCAGAACACATAAACAGAAATTTCAGCTTCAGTAAACGTTCCAAAGCAAGTAATGCATCAAGAAAAGAAAGTGAATTCTTCATATGCATTTATAGAGGCAAAGAGCTTTTGCGAGCAAGTTACATTATTTGTTGTTGATTGTTGTCTCTTTTTCTTTTTCCAGTTGCCCATATTTGTCAGAGAAGATTACGCCTGCTATACCTGCAATTGGTGGGATTCTTTTCTTTTTCGTGATGGGGACCCTGCTGCGTACTAGTTTCAGTGACCCTGGTGTCCTCCCCCGCGCAACACCAGACGAGGCAGCAGATCTAGAGAGACAAATAGGTAACACCGAAGGTCTGTTGTCTCCTCGCTCTCCTCCCGAGGGTGCATGTGCTGTGTGAAGGCAGTGTGCTGCTCTGCTCCTGGGAGGAGTTACTCCTACCTTGCCACAGTGATTGTTCTGGAACTGTAATGTTTGATGATGTTGCAGTGATTCCTGTGGAAAGATGATTGATCAGTTCTTCACCAAGAAAGTAAACAAAATCCTGGCCTTTTACAGTGATAGTTATTACTGTAAATACTTCTCAGCAAGTCTGGTAGAAATCTCTCTGTGATACATTAGAGAATATATTTTAAGTGTTTTTGACAAGAAAGCTGATATTGCAAAAGATCTATAACTGTGCATTTTTAAAACTGTGTGTTCTCAGAATTTAACTGAATTTAATTGTTATTTATACTGCAAAAGAGTCAGATAAGTCTTTGTGTTAATATACAGTAAAAAAAAATTTTTAGTAAAGCCAGCATGATTAAAGTATAGAGCTAGATTTTAACCATTCTTGCTTAATAAGAGCACTGTTGACTAAATTGTGTAAGTGGGACTTCTACAAGTACAAATATGCTGAATAGCTAAAATGTGCCACCTGGATAAGAGAACGCAGGATGAGTTTGCAGAGCTGCTTCATAAATAGTGGGTTTGTGTGCTTACAACCTTACCAAATGCTACTAAATCTGCTTTGATGTGATAGTCAATAGAAGTCCCATTTTTTTAATGCAGTTTCAGAGAAATGGTCACTCATGTGATTGAAAAGACAGGTAACAGGTCTAGAGAAACACTTTCAGTATCCTTGGTGTTTAATACCATAGTGCAGTCCTAGGCTTTTTATGATAGAAGTATTAAAACATTTGCTATTTAACTGAATTTCAGAAGTGCATAAAAATATGTGAAAATATAATGAAGCATTCATTTAGCACCTTTTTGTAACCAGTGTTATGGTTATCCTATATTGATCTCCTTCAAGGAATTCTTTACTTAGAATAAGGTACTACCTTTAGTACAAAACACTGGTACAGGTTCCTGTTCAAGGAATTGCTTATTTGCTCTGTGTTCACAGAAACATTGATCTATGTCAGGAAATAAATTTTATGTTGTCATCTGTCAGAGTTTTGGCGAAATACAAAACTAAAAATACAAATTGAATATACTAGAGGGGACAGTCAAAATGTTCCTGCGTAGAGCAAGTTCAGAACTTGTGTTTACAAATTATAATTCTTTTTAAATGGTACTGCATACTAGTTCACAGGTTGAGGCTGCTGAGCTGATCAAAGCCATCATCTTTTCTTCAGCAGTAGCAAAGGCAGTACTCTTCCAAAAAGGGCCAGTGGAATATTGAAGCAAGGAATTAGAGTGGCAGCAAATGTGGAGTTCCCAAGCATGAGGGCTTATGGCAAGTGTAATAGAGGAACAAGCTAGGTAGCTATAAGAAATCATTCTGCCCTAAAATTGTGATTCTGGATTCAACAATGGAAGTGGAAAGAAACATTTTTGTACCGTTACAGTATGGTTTTTTAATGTGCCTGTGAAAGGTATCCTAGTGGAGTGGTATCTGTGCAGCAGGAAAAGCTGAATGGCTCCTGGAGTTGAAAAGACTAGATTTTCCAAAACTATGATGCAGGCTGGATTGCCTTGTAACTTGCTGTACCTTTCAACTTGAGGTGTCTTCTAAAGATGGGGTGCAAGGTTAGCAGTAATTTATTTTAGACAAGACAGTTCTTCAGATAACTCACCTAAAAATAATGCCTTTACCAAATAGTTTCTTTGCTAAAATGTATTCATGTATCCTGTCCTATTTGTAGCTTTTACTTTATTAAAATCATTCTTAGATGCTTGAGTCTTACCCTGCCCTACTGGTCTTTTTGGGAAGCAGCCTATCAGAAATTATTACAGATGCACTGAGAAACAGTTGTTTCCCAAGACAAGGAATTGTGATTTAAGAATGCTATTTTGAAGTTCTCTTAAAATATATCAAATTTTATTTTTTTACAGTAGAAAGCATAGAATAGGATGAGTTGATTTGGAAGAATTGTTCTCAAAATAAGACCTTCTAAAGAAGGTGACAGTACTTTGTCCTTTCAGGTGACTTTCTGGGAACAGGTTGCTCATATTAAGAGGCAAAAAAAAAAAAACAAAGTTTCTACCTAGGCTATCAGCCTTCTTCAGGTGAAGAATGTGGGACTAACACAGATGTGATGCTGTTATTTCTCCCCCCTGTGTACAGGAATGGAAAGCAGTTATTTCTTGAGAATTTGTGTTCATAGGTGAAGAAAAAGTGAAAAGAACTGAAAAAAAAAAGAAGTCAAAAAAAAACCAAAAGGAACTTCTGATATTCAAAAATACTGTATTTCATGCAAATCATCAAACTATCCTCATATAGAGGGAGTTAGGAAGTGTAATAAGAGGCCATTTGGACTATATTTGATTGTAGTCAAAAATACACTATTGTCAGAACTGGAGATAGTTCTTAAAGATCAGTATAAAAAGATGGCACAAGCATATTGGGAAAGGCAAAAGGAGAATAAAGTCAGTTACAATCTGCAAGGAGCAGTAGAAGACAACAGGACAGGTTCTATTAGAGGTCAGAGGAAGAAAGAAAAGCTGAAGGCATGCTGTGCAGTTGGGAAATGAGAAATGGCAGAGGACAGTCTGTAGGAGTCAACACTGCTTTGATCTCACAAGATAACTTGTATACTTCTTGATAGCTGATAGAAAGGGAAGAAAGAAAACAGTTGTAGTTTAAAAGTCTGTTAATCTACTATCCTGTATCTTTATTGGTTTATCTAGTGTTCTGCTTTTATAGAAATCTGTCAATTCTATCACCAGAAACTCTTCTCTGTCTGGAAAGACATGCTACATGATCAAATTATTAGAATTTGGGCTGCCAAAGGGTTGGGGCTTGTGGCTGTTTAAGTCTCAAAACAAGCAACAAAGAATTTCAAGAGAAAATCAAGTGTAACCAATCTGATATCCTTCATTGAAAGAGTAACTGTCTTGGTGGGAAAGCAGAAGATGTGCTTAATTTTTCACTCTAATTTAGCTCTTGATGGTGTCCTGCATAGGATTCTTTCTGTATAAGTTTTGGAAATAAGTTCTAGGTGAAATTGCCACAAAGTCAGTAAGTACCTTTTCAAAGAGACACTCTAGCAGCAAATGCTAAGTGCTCAAATAGGACCTTTCAGAGACTGATTGTGGGCTCATGAGGAATCTGCTTAACTCTGAAATTGGTGCTGAGATGGAGAAATTTGCAATCACTGGGTTTGATTTTTTTTTTTAATGTATTTTAAATAGTTTGAGCAGCGTTAGGGAAAAACCACAAAATGTATGAATACAAGTGGAAATCAAATACTAATGGAAAGGGATCTAAGTGGTGAATGGTGCAGGAAGAGGAGACTTGAGTGTTATTTCCAAACAGATTGGGTTAGCACTGTGGTATGATGAAAAGGAGAAATCCTTTTTGGAGCATGTTAGAAGAAAACCAGAAGAAGGGACATTCTGGGATACCCAGTGGTGATGAGGGCTCAGTTCACTGTCCGGTTTTCTACAACATATGTAAAAACTCAAGAGGAAGGCAGCTAAACAGACAAGTCTGGAAAACAGGACCTGTAAGAATATTTAATACATGCATGCATTTGGCCTAAGAGAGAGGAGAGGCAAAAGTCTTAAAATACTCTAGTTTTTGGGGTTTTCATATAACGTAATAGAACAAAAGCAACTAGATATATGAGGCTTATATAATGTAAAAAATCACTGAGGGAAACTTTATTATAAAAGTGCTATAATTTCACTGAAATGCAGCAGGATTTTTTTTTTTGTTTAAATGCAACATTAAATGTACTGATGTAGTATTTCTACTTCAATTATAACTTCCATTAAAATTGAAATGTAATTTTTCCAGGGGTATCCTAGCTGTAATTACATTATTGTCATGATGCATATAAGCATGGCTTCTGCAATCACAATAAAACTGCTATATTAAGAGGGGCTTTTTCTTTTATGGAAACACAAATACTAAGAGCAGCCTTATTTTGTAGCCTCTTTGCTACAAGTTGCATGTCTTTCTTGGAGTTAAGTCAGTGTTAAGTCACTTCAAGTGGAAAAATTGTCAACTTCTGAAAATGAAGGCTTAGAAGGATAACCCAATCTAGGAGAATGGGTTTTGTAAGCAGGAAGGCATTTGTCCAGTTGATGTATACAAGTTTAACAATTCTTCCACAATATCAATCTTGTTTGCGCTGGATAGGTGATGCAGATAATTGAAAAGATGGTTATGGCAATTTATTCTTCCAACCTTAAAAGTGCTTTGGATTTTTCTTCAGGCTGTCATAAATTACGTGTATTTTCCTCATCTAATCCGTACAATTAGCTCAGGCCAGTTCACAGGACAGCTTCTGCTTGCTTGTTTTGTGTTTTCCAAGCCCTGAACTCAATGTATGAGCTACACCAGCACACTGTCTCTGCAAATTGGCTAATTTATGCTGATGCTCAAGACCACATTTGAGACTCCTTCAGAATTCTTTGCCTGTCTTTCTTTTGTTTTGAAATGCACAATTGGATTTCATTATAGCCTTATAAAGTTAAATCCGTGCCACAGCACAGGCATTTCATAGAACTGACCATGGCCTGAGCAGATACATACCATTTGTGGTTATCATGTTTTGCTTTCTTTGCAAAGGTGGGATACCAGCTTCCTAGGCTTGTAGTTGTACCTGATACTGCGCCTATAAACAACATGCTTGAAATAAATATAGTGAAATTACTTGGTGTGTCAGGTAAGTCTTAGAAAGCTCTTCCTGTCTATGCTTCTTTCCCTCAACAAATCACTAAAGATTACATTTCTTTCTGGGAACAAGCATACCATTCACATGAAGTTTTAGGCTTCAAGAAGATCATGAAACTCTACTTTTAAGAAAAGAATATATTATTTCAGAAAAATCTAAGGCAGCAAGTCCTTAAATTCAGGAGCAATATGTGTTCAGTATCTCTTGATGGCTATCAGATGAAAAACTATGTGAAGAATGCAGTTAGCAGCTGCTGGTTTCAGTCTAAACCACGTTCCCAGTATTGTTTGTCCCTGAGATTACTGTCTTGAAACAAGAGCATTTTATTTAAGTTCTCTTCCCTCCAAAAAATGAATTACTCTTTTGTCTTGTAGCCCACTGTTGTTAAACAGGTACCTTAAATTTGAACAGTTAAACACGTAGGAAGACATTTCTTAGAGATTTGCATTGTTAGTTGGCTTTGTTTTGTTTTGGTTAGAATTTTTTCTATTGTTTTTCAGATGTTATGGGTTATACATAAAGATTCATTACCTTTTCCTTTAGTCCTCAGGAAACATTAGAATTGTTTCAGTTTACTGACTTCTCAAATATTATTTTTTTGAAGATTGAAATTGTGTCCTTTTAAAGTTGTCAACAAACATTGCATGCTATGGTTATGAAGCTTGTATAGAGACAATGTAGAGCTGCCTTCTAGAGCCTGTTTGTCTCAAGTTCTTAGGAACATTAGGCCAAAAAATCCAACTCTTAATTGAGCAGGAGAGTCCTGGTGGTATGAATACAAACTTGCAGCTTCTGTCTTTTGTCAGCACCGCTTATTTGTTTGTAGCATAATAAATTGAGACATCTAAGCGGAGTTTGTTGTCCCGTTAGAAGGTTGCTAGGTTGTGCTGTATCTCCATTAAATACTTGGAGTATCTTTCTTGGAGCAGTTCAGGTGTCTCGGTCCTGCAAGGTCATTAATTGCTTACATGGGGTTTTTGTAATTATAGTAATAAAAATGCTGGAGCCCTATCTAGTGCACGAACAGTTAACCCTGCTAGAGAAGTTACAAAATGTGTCAGAACAGGGAGGATGGATGCAATCCCATTAGTGGGTAAGTTTTAGCCTTTTTGTGAAAGAACTTGCATTACTACATCAGTAATAGGTTGGATGAGTGAAATGTAGTAGTGATCAAACACAGTTTATTTGGGGAAGGTGATTCCATAAAGGTTAATTTTTCTGTTCCTCAAAGAGACCTCATATATTGAAGATTTAACTGTGTTAGACCCCAGGTATGAGCAGTTGAATTGAAGGCAAACTACTGAAAATTCACAGTGAGACCAGGACATGTTTAGCACATTTAGGTTAGATAAATTATATTAAATCGAAGCACATTTGACCTTGCTCTGCTCCTTGTTTCCAGGAAAAAGATGTTAGTAAACAGAAAGACTGGAACATTTAGGTTTGATTATGCAATTTAGAATTTTGAGAAAAATTCTCAGTCCTTGGAAAATCAGCAAGACTGTTTACACTGATTTCATTTGCATGAGCTTTCGCCTTCGGATTTCAAGATGAATTTGCCTCAGAGAGCTAGGATTTGCTGTCTCTGTGAACTTCCCTTCAAATGTTTGGGAGGAAGTCCTCTTAGAAGACCAGTGTTGTAAATAAAATGGGCTGGACACTAGTCTCACTTCTCCACCAGAGAAGACAGAAGTTGCCTTTGAGATTCTGCCAAAGCCCATTTAAAATAATTGTGGTTCACTTTGTGATCTTCTTGAAAGGGAGGGGAAATATTGGCTTTAGTCAATGTGCCTTTTACAAAATAAATGTTTATCTAGGAAAAAGAGCATTTTCCGTCTAAACAATTCCCTTTGACTGGTTTAAGTAATTTTCTTTCAATTATTATGTACATACTCAAGAATAATAAGATTTTGTAAGAGAAAAAAATCTGAAATATTACTGTTATGTTAGGGTCAGTATTTCTACCATACAAATGCATCAGTATTTCTAGCATACAAAGCTACACCTAGATGAAATTCAGGCATTAGTAGTATTTTTATAATTATGCACTTAAATTTTAGTATCAAATGAAAATATTTGGGTTTTTAATGAACATGCCATGCCAGCATTAAATGCTTTATTCAATAAAATAAATTTGTAGGGCTAATGACCTATATTTATGTTCACTGTTTTAAGTCTTATCTTGACCAAAATACGGTCAGAAATGGGTCTAACATTTTGTTTTGTAATGCCCAAAGATTTCTAGGACTGTGACTATTACAAGCTGATTGCTTATAGTGTCACCAGAAGCTTTCTTAATGTAATATGAACTAGAAGAAATTCTTCCCTGTCTTCTGGATTTAGGTAACGTCCATGTCTCTCTAAAGCTTTAAATACTATAAGCACAGTTGTGCTGTGTCTTCCAAAGAACATCTTTTCAGCTTATACGCTGAAATACACCGGTAGCATTACTTAATCAGAAATATTTGTCAAGTAGTATTGACCTTGAGGTCAAAATCAGTATAACTGCTAGTTGTGGGAACCACACAATAATCTGTGCTTCCACCTGGGCAAGCAACGCAAAGCAGGAGTTGCTTTATATCCAACACAAGTGAATGTCTTTACCTCATCAGGCTGTAGGAGGCTGCTTGTGTGCTGCTCTTTTTTTAGTCTTCACCACTTCATTCTCATAATGGATGTTTAGGAGCTTTATACCCAGATTCCATCCATCTCAGCTATTGCTCCCTTCATTTCATCCTCTTCTCCATTAGTGTTTTCTGAAGTCTGGTTGTTTTAATGGTCAAGTTTACAGTGGTGTCCCACAAAGACTTTTATGTATTGATGCATATTTATGGATCATATTTATGGGTGAGCACTTTGCAGATGAGAACTCCTTAAGTTGGATTTGCTGCCAAATCAGCACGTTGTATAATTGCACCTTTGCTAGCACAGCTGTGTTGTTGCTAGTTTGAATGCCTTGCTAGGTGGGAGACTTTCTTCTTGCCCTTTTGGAAAATACATCATTTGTAGGCTGTGTAATTGGCAGAAATAAAAATTGTGAGTGATATTTCTAACAATTTGAGCTCAAATAAAGTCATAGATCTTTTAGTAACAAGCCCCACATGAAAGCAGGACAACTTAAGACGCAGTTGTTCAGGTGACTTGACTGTGACTTTGAAATGTATTTTCATTCATATATTGGAAAAATACTTTATTTTACTTCCCTGTTGTCTTAGCTGATCTGTTTTCCAAGTGTAATAAATTTAGGGTTTCCTTTTCCACTTCCGTGGTTTGACTTGATTGTGGTTACAGAAGAACAGATAAACCTAGAAAAAGGCACTACTTTTACATGTTGAAATTTCAGAGTAAAGGTCAGCTTGGGCAAAATTGAACTTTATTAGCCTAATCAGTCCTTTAGATCCTGGAAAAATTACTGATAATATCCTAAAATAAAACAAAAGGAAGCTTAGAAACAAAACCCAAAACTCTACTACTTGTATCAAACAAGGTAGCTGGAAACTGGTTTTGTGCAACAAACAAGCTTCAAGGTGTGTAGAAGTAACACTGGGAGTTGGGTGTTCAAACTTCTAAAGAGCAAAAGCTGTAAGATACTTTTGTGAATGTGCTCTGTTGTCTCACAGCATGCAAGAGATCTCAGCATTAAGTAGGCTCAGACGACAGAGCAGCTGTTGTTTAAGTAAATGTGCAGATTCCCTTCTAGGCTGTAGAATTTCTGCAGCATTTCTAGGGAGATTTTTTGTTATTACAGGAATTCTGAAAAAATTAGGAATAGTCTAAAGGTAATTTCCACGTTTTGGTGTCGTACACAAGTAGTTATCATTGTCTTTAATATGTTATCTAAAGACTATTAGGGGATAAGAAACTGTAAGAATTTTGGGATCAAGGTCATTGTCAGCATTTGAGAATTGGGTTTGGATGGTTTCTTTGATTCAGATTGATTGGCTTTGGATGCTATTTGCAATGAAGTGTCTCTTTGCTGCTTATTACTCAAGAATTAGAAGGGGAAAAATTGTTTATTTTAAATGTGTTAATATGAATTTGAAATTTGCTATAGATTGCCATTAAGGACAGTTTTGTGCATACATCATAGCTCATGTGCAACATTTCATGTCTTGTATTTTCATGCTTAGATATAGCAAATGGCTGCAGTTCAGGAGGATATCGTCCCCCTCCCAGAACAAAAGAAGTGATCATCAATGGACAGACAGTGAAACTAAAATATTGTTTTACTTGCAAGATTTTCCGCCCACCTCGTGCCTCACATTGCAGCCTTTGTGATAACTGCGTAGGTGAGTAAAAAAGAGATGCGGCATATGTTCAGTTTAGTAGCTTATATATTGTAATGAATACTTTTCATAGGCAACAGAAAAAAAAACAGTTAGTGACAAGATTAGTCATGAGGTGACTTGCTCTGTTCATCTTCCTTTCCTACAAGATCTGTTAAATCTTAAGAATTTTAGAGGAGGCAGAAAAAGAGACTTGGCCTAGCAGATGTTGCTAGTCCAAGAAGGGAGATGATTTTCTGATGCATACATCTTTCCTAACCTGCCCTAATGATAAAGAACACACCCAACTCGAATAAGGCCACATATAATGTGCCATGACCTTTCCAAGCTTTTTGGGAGTCTCATAATTGTTTTTTTCACCAAACTAAATTGAGGGCAAGGAGCTGCTTCTCCAGTCCATCAGTAACTAACTGTAAGGCACGGTTCAAATGGTTAGGGCTGTGTGATCAAAATACACACTGTAGGTGATTCTTGCCATTGAGCAGTTTGATGACTAGATGTACTTTTGTCAGAATCCATAAGAAATTACTGGGCAAACATGCTATTTTGAGAGTAAGTAGATGTTGCCAGGACCTAAGCATATTTCATAATTATGGGGTTGGGTTTTTTTCTCTCTGAATATCTTGTCCTTTTTCATTACCGTTTTCCATGGAGGTCAGACAAGGTGATTAAGATATGCTTGGATTTAAAAGCAAACCAAAAAACCCCTACCAATCAAATCTGAGTGGTTTCCCATTAATTAGATCACATTTGCAGTTCAGTGCAGTTGATTAGCACACTGTTGAGTCTGGATCTTATGCATTCAAGAAAATAATGTAGAAAGATGTCTCCAGCTGAGAAATGTAATTGCAGCATTCAGCAGTGATATTTTTAGATATAAAGCAGTCATTGGAAGAATTGGAGTTTTATGTTTAAATGATACTCATTTAGGGAGTGCCCTTACATCAGACGAAAAAGCTTATTAGCCTTTTGGCCCTGTAGAATTGATTGGTAACTGTAGATAGTTCCTTCAGTAAATAAATTTTTCTGATGTGCTAAAATTTTCTAAGTGTTGCAAAAGCTATTGAGCTTGCTTTTATTGAGCAAGTAGGGATGTTTATGACTTGCAATTGGTACATTGTTCAGAAGAATATTTTAGCAAATGTGTAATTTTAATACTACAGTGTTGTGATGTTGCTCAGCAAACTGGATAATATGTAAATACAGTTGTTGACCAGTGTGATAAATAAAAGTTGAAAAGCTGTTGTCTTTACCAAGAGAGCAAAAACAAGAGCAACCTCACCTGTACAACCTGAAACTTATTTTAAAATAATGGTATGGCTTTTTAATGCACTGGTATGATGGATTTTCTAATAGGTTATTCTGTAATCTGTCTCCTTTTCATACCACATCTGGAAAACCTATTCTGTAAAACATAAAATTAGTGATGGCAGGGAAAGAACTTATACAGTCTTCTCATCATGTCTGTGATGAAAAAACAAATGTGAATTATTATGAATATTTATCAGGAGTGAGCAAATGACTTATATAGCTGAGATGTCTTTTCTGCTCATAAGATAGGTATGATCATTGTAATTTCCTCTTGCACGTTTTTAAATTTGGAGTTATTAGTTTTAAAGTAATTGAATTTGCTGTAGTTTTTCTCCTCAATGTTTATAGTGGAAATTACAATAAAATTACTTTTTCAGGGTGCACTGTATAGTAGCATTGTTTCCTGATTAGATACAGGTGTTTGTCATATAAATATTTGGGTGTACTTAATGCAAAAAGTTATATCTACAAGTACCTGCAACTAATTTTTTATTAAAAATAGGTGTCAAGAAAATTGGATGGCTCGTGTGTCTGTGGAAATGTAACAGTCTGAGAGTGTACACTTAATCAGAGTGTGTTATGCAGTTTGCCACCACTTCTAAGTTAGTATTGTCTATATGATGATGCTTTTATTTAGCTTCTGAATAAATCTTTTAATAGCAATGAGTATTCTTGTGCCACTATTTGTTAGTTCGTTATTGGTTTAACTAAACCTATGCACAAGTAGTTCTACTTCACATGCATATGGATATTTAAGTAACTTATGCTATTAAAATATAACATATTTAGGCAGCTCACTACCAATATGACCATGCATTCCTTTTTACCACATAGTTTCCAAAGATTTTGCTGCAGTTACAAACCAGCTACAGAGACTCTGTGGTACAGGAATGGGGTCTGTCCTCAAACCAGCACTGCTCAGAAAAAACAGTGTGCTACTTTTACCTAAAGTTGTCTTATGATACTTGGCAAATGAATGCAGTGTGAAAGAGAGGTTCTTTCACTCTGAGTTTCCTATTAATGTTGTTTTATTCTGAAAGGAATCTATTGCAGCATTTTAAATATGTAAGTACATACAAAAACTTACTCTTTATTTCTGTCTAATTGTTTAGTAAGCATATCTGTTACTTGACATTGCTTGATTTTTGTTTCATCACTGTTTTTTATAAATATCTATATCGCATTTGTATATAAAAATAACAATAAATAGCTTAAAATAAGAAAAAAAAAAGAAGAAAAGAGATAATTTGAGTTCTAACCTGGTAATACTTGACTCCTTTAGCTCTACAGTATTTTCCTAGTAGTGTCCAGAAAAATCTCTATTTTCATACAAATGTTGTTTGTTCCATTTATGTAATACTTTAAAAAATTTGGTTGAATAAGTGTCCCCTGAAGCACATACCTTGGGTGTGTTCCTGATTTGCTTTCTTTACTGCCTGTGTGAATGTCAGTTGGAAGTTAGCCCCTCAAGGGTTTTGTGTACCATTATGTTGCTCAAGAATTACAAATGAGTTAAACATAATATGCATCTGAAAACAAGAGATAAGAACTTTAGAGTAAAAGTAACCAAACCAGACATAAATTCTGCGCTCAAGGTAGTTATTGCTGTGTCTTGACAAGAAGTTTTGATGGCACTGTGTAATGCTAGCAAGAAAGCAGTGGTTGGACTTGCTGCTGGAATGACCTAATGGCGGCTTTTTTATTTATTTTTGGTCATTGGAACATGGACTGTGTAATATCCTTTTGTTTTGTTTGGTTTTAATAAATATTTTTTGTTTTGTTTAATTTGATTTCTATGATGAAAGCTGAACAAGAAGCAGGTGGCTATATCTAAACAATATGGGGAATAATTTCCAAAGCACATGTAACACAGACAGTGTAAGATAGTGAGAATTACCAGTTTGTTCTGGGGACAAGCTTTTCCCAGTAGTTACTCCAGATACTCCCATCTTCCTGATGAAGAACACCAATTACTTCAAAAGTAGGCTGAGAGGTGGCATTGTAACAATTTGACTTTTCTGACACAGACAGTGTTTCTGAGAACAATTTCTCAGGACTTTGTAGTCCTTTATGAGCAATGTGTATGTCAGGACTTTGGTCTGCTTGGGTTTAATTCTCTTCTATAGCACTCTTTCTTCATTACCTTATTATTTCCTTTCTTGCCTTCACTTCCTTTTCATGGCCTTTGCTTATTTCCTGCCTTACATTTCCTGTGGTGAATAGAGTACAATTTTCACTTCATTTTGAACCTGTTAAACCTTAGCTCCGATTGTCTTGAAATTACTCTTTTGCTGAACAGTTAAAAGCACAAATTTGGCTGCTTTTCTTTTTCTTTCTTCTCTTATGTATTTTTCCCAGTTTTTACAGGTGAGAAATTGCTTGGACTCTTTTTGTTTGGGTGCCCCAAAAGGTAGAACAAGAAGCTGCCAAATGGAGTACACATGAGCACTCTCAGAAGTGATGTGTTATTTATGATTGTGCGATTTGTGAAATTAGATGTACTTTGGAAATTCAGAGAGCATGGCATGTGTGTCAGGGTTTCTAAATCCTAAGCCAATGGACTGCAAAATATGTCAGTCTCTTTAAGAAAGAAAATCGTATTATAGTTTACTTAAGAGAGGTTGTGGCTTATGCATTGGTCTGCATGTGAAAAAATGCAGAGATGATCAGAGCATCTGACTGTGTAAATGATGTTGTAAACCTCAAGGTGTCAGAGTTAAAATTAAAGAGAGAAATTATCAGTTAAAAACATTAGGAACCTAGGAAAATAAACACATATTTACATTCAGTGCAGTAACAATTTGCAGAATGGTTAAAAAACCCCAACTCCGTTAAAACACAGCAGTGGAAGTGTGCAAAAAAATGTGCTTTCCTGTAGAAAGAGAAAAATTAATCCGTAAACTTTGTGGATGTTATTACTTCATAGGTAAGAATACTGTGCTTCCTCTAGTGACAAATTTGAGGTTTTAAAATCCTTTCCTCCACAGCTGGGTGTGTGTCAGGCACTTGTGTGGGTCTGCCAGGGTTTATGTACTCGAATGGGTATGTAAAGAGCGATTGTTAAGGAGTGAGGTCCTTCACTGTGCACTTTTGTACCTCTCAAAGAGCAGCCATTCTAAACTGCTGCTGCCTTTGAAAATGTCACCATTAATGTGCATGAAGTAGGAGGAGTTTGTTAATTAGTCAATATTTATTATTGGAGGGTGCAGTGAAGTGATCTGTGTGACAATACAGTTTAATTACTATGAGCTATCCTAGGGCAACGGCTGGATGTTTTCCTAATAAATCAATTGCTATTTTTATTTTGAAAATTAAACGTGTTTATTTTGTTTTTGTGAACAGCAATAGTCTGCTAGCATTAAAGTTGATTAGCGTGCAAAAAGTTGTCATTGCAACTTATTTTCTTAAAACCCCAACCAAATAGCATAGCTGTCTGGACTAGTTTAAAGAGTCATGAAAGTGAAATACATGTTAATTAGCTCTTGTGTTTATTTTTCTGATTGACTTTTTGTTGTAGATACCCATGCACATTATTAACTTTTTCATTAATAGAGGCCCGTCTTTCCCAGTGTTACATTACTATTTCAGTGTTTTCAGTTTACATCACCTTGTAGAGATTAATCCAGAATGTAATTTGAAGTAAACTTTTGGTGAGTATTTCCTAAATGTTAACATGAGGCCAGAAGATGCTT